CCCCAAAACCCCAAAACCCCAAAACCCCATTAATATGTAATTCATTCATTTAATGAAATGGTGAAAAAGTTAAGAAATAAAACTTAAATAATAATATATAATCATAATCATCTAAAAAGGATTCATAGGAAGTTATGTTGATATACACCTAACTTCTTCTTTTTTTTCTTTTTTGTTTTAGCTCCTTTCAAATTAATTCCAAACTTAGACTAGGCTTTCTTATTAGAAGTAATAATTTCCTATAAGTTAACATTTTCATCTTCAAGTGAACTACCAGTGAGTTAATTAGTATAAAATATATTTCCTATCAGATTCCCCTAAGTTCCATTGTTTTCATTATGCTTTTCATTTTATTCGGTTCCATTTCCAAATATATCTTGTAGATCAGATGGTTTGGTGTTTTATTGTTATTTGGCTTTAGATTTGCTAGCCTAAGCATAATTTGGTCTAATCTTTTTGCTTATATTTCTGGACATAGGGTCTATTTTAACTTTATTTTAAGTTTTTATTCTTTCAATTTAAGGTTACTATATATTCCCTTCTTCTTTTAATTGTCTATTTGAATCAAAATCTGGTTCTCTATATTCCATTTCTTCCGTGCCAAAATTTCGATTTATAATATTCAACTTGGCATCATCATCTTCGTTTAATACCTAATTATCATCTAATTTTAAGCTCTTCGAAATTATAAGCTGTTCAATCTCATAAAATATGCCTCAACCTGAAGGGGCACCTCTTCTTGAATTTTCATAAGTCTCTTGTGATTCAAGATCATAGTCATTATAGCCATGAGTTGGTCTGGGAGTCATTACAACATCAATTAAATTCGCGTAGGTTTTATATTATCTTGAAAATTACTTTTGTTCCTGAGTTAAAATTACCTCTTTGGGTAAAAAGTTTTTATAAGAAGCTGGTGAGGCTGACAAATAAGTTTGAGCAGATGGCTAAACAAATGAGTGAGATTTTGAGTGCAGTTTAGCAGATTTAATGCGCATTTTAAATTCATCTTTGGTGAGTTTAGGTTTAGGAGGTTTTTAAGGCTGAGAATTTTAAGTCAAATTTTGAAGCATGTTAAGATCTTAGTGTTCAATCTTGCTGCTACTTGACTCTTAATCAGAGTCATTTGAGTATTCCAGGTCAAATTTACTTGAAGCTTTGCTTTTATTATTTCATAGTATGTCTGGGCTTGGAGAACTCTTGAGGGAGTTAATCATTTAATGTTGGTTTGCACTCTGTAAAATATTGCTGTTTCTGCTATTGAGGTTGTTGTAATTCTAAAGTCTTTGGGTGCTACCTTTGGTTTCATAAATGTGATCCATTTTGAGTTCGAATGGCTCGCTATCAGGCCCATAGTATTTATCATGATTCATGTCATCTTAATTTTCTCTTTTAAATCTTTTAAAGCTGCTCTACTTGGTGGGGCCAGAATCTTAAATGACCTTTTGCTACTTTGTGGTGTAAAAACATCATAGAAGGTAAGTTTTAACTATCACTCTGAACTTTAGATTCCTTTGGTACAAGCACACAATACCAATTATCACAGTCAAAGACAGCAATACTATAAAAGTGAACAGCACTGCATTCAAGATAAGGGACTCATTGGACATTATGTTCAGAGAGGAGCTTTCTTTGTTTGAACTAGAGCTTTTATTCGTAGTTGTTGATGAAGTTGAAGCCATCAAGGAATTACTCATATTATACTTTGTTTAATATTTCTATTTTCTAATTTAAATGAAATCATTTATTATAGTCATTTTACACTTACCCCTTTCATTCTCATTTTGCATCTATTTCATCCATGGGGTTTTGGGGTTTTGGGG